TAACGCTGCTGGCCCGCTCTTCACGACGGCCAACCTCATCGGGATGTGGTGCTTACCTGCTCGCCCGTCTCAACGCTGACGCCTAGCACGCTAGAGCTGCACGCGCAAAACACGGTGTCCGACCTGCGGAACGATAGATGCCGCCAAGAGCCAACGCAGCGTGAGGAAGAAATATAATCCCGCGCGTGCAGACCCACTGCATTGTTGTCATTCGACGGGGTTAGTGCGGTGTCGGTGCCACATGTTCTTCTGCAGACAACGACAACAAATTCACTTGTAAATGACAAAGCACTCCCAGTCCACCTACGATCCGAAGAGCCGAAGAGCATTGGCATTGGTCTCGGTACTGCTGTTCGGCGGTGTAACAAGTATGCTTGCTTTCCACCAGAGACAACTATTGGTATCGCGGTACAAACATGAGCACGAGAATCTGTTGTACTTGGAAGATCAGAGGAGCATTGGTATTGGCATATCGGTATTGAAACCTATGTCGTCCGCAACACAGAGGGTTCCGACGCGGACCGAAAGACTGCGCTGCTCTCTTCGACAAACAAGAGCTTCGTGATGCTGAGCATAGCAGAGGCGCCCGATTGGTGTGCGATCATGGAGGAAGGGTGTTGGAGCGGGCTCTACTGCTGTATGCATAGCACACTACATTGCAGTCAGCACAGCAGTCAGTCAGGACAGTAGTAAAATGCATGTTTTTTAAATTCAGTGCGACAGAAACCATACACCACGCTGTCCATCGCTACCGCAGAAAAGCCAAACAACATATCCGCCTCCTGCATGGCGTGATGGGGTGTCGAAGGCACCACACAAGCTACCCGTGGACATCAGTATTTGAAGGTGTGTCAGGTATCACGAGCCACCCATAAGATTTGACGTCCAGTGGTCATCTGCCTGCAGCACCACTCACGAGGGGCTGAACACGGGAGAGCACCGGAACAGGCACCCAGACAGCACGGCTCTCGTCTCATCCGAAGCAAGGATAGGAGGGGCCACAGTAGCATCTCCACCAGCGCCACCAGCAGTAGCAAGCTGCTCTCCACCACCGCTGCCGCTGCTACTACCTATGCGCCGTCTGACACCAGCAGAGCCGCTGCTGCTGCTCTTGGCGACAGCAGTCTTCGTAGGAGTGGACCTACGCGTCTCTCTCTTGGCTCGTGACGCAGGCGGCTGCATTTCTCTTAAGTCAGTGTCTACCAGGGTGGCAGTCGGGACCGCCAGTCTACCTTACAGCTACGCCGTTGATGCTGCCGCTGTATGTCGACGCCATGCGGTGCGGTACCACCACCGATGCGGCGCGACTAGGGGGGCCTGTACGTACACCATGTAAATTGTACCCCCCCCTCGGCCGCCTGCTAGACGGCAAGAATGCAAGAATTGTCCAACGGCAGGCGGGCAGCCCGGCAGCTAGAACATCGTCCAAAGCGCGATGCGCGAGGGGATCAAGCGTGCATAGAGGGAGGGGGTGGAGTAGCCTAGCCTTCCCTGGCTGAAGACGTTATGAAACGAAGCCGATCGGAATACTCCCCACCACGGTCGCGGTCACCGTCGCCATCGCCAGATGCTCGCAGGTGTGTGTTCGTGTTGAGTAACCAGCGGAGTGTGGATTTTGTCTCATGACATTCCCTATTTGTGCGACCGACGTGCAGCAACAGCGTTGCTGTCCCTCTCGCCTTTCCTCCTGATGGGACATGGCCACCCTCCTAGCCCGTACGATTGCACCATTGGTATGCTTCTTCAGAATAAGCGAATAGACAGGTTTGCCGGGCTGACTGATATTCGCCCTTCCATTCATCATATTAATTCATCATGACCAGGTGTGCCGGGCGGAGGTGCTATGCCAGGACCATCTTTGTGTGTGTTTGTCTGTCTGTCTGTCTGTCTGTCTGTCTCTGTCTCTCTCTCTATCTGTCTGTCTGTCTGTCTGTCTGTCTGTCTGTCTCTCTCTCTCTCTCTCTCTCTCTCTCTCTCTCTCTCTCTCTCTCTCTCCTACCCCACCGTATCCTGACGCTCTACCCCTATGCCCCGTTGCTGCGCCAGCAGTCACGCCGTCCTTCGGGTTCCGGTGACACCCACCAAGGCCGCCGCCATGAGGGAATTCGCATCGCCTCTTAGTCGCCGACAAAGCAGCTCCGGGGCAGCAGCAGCAGCAGCAGCCTCTTCCATGCTGCCACCCCCGCCGTCACCGCTCAAGACAGGAGGTCAGCACCAGGAACAACAGCAGCAGAAGCAGCAGCAGCAGCAGCAGCGGGTGCCCCTGTCCCGCCTTCAAGGGGCCGCCCGCCCGAACGGAGATGCCCACCACCACCAATCGGCAACAACGACAAGCTTCCAGTCCCCTAGCAAACGCAGCAGCTTCTTGCGCGGGCCGCGGACGGGGAATGCCGGTCCTCCCGCTAGCGGCTCCGGCGCTGCCGGGCTAGCGGTTTCCTCTCCGCCGAGGGTGGTGACGGCCGGGGGCGCGATGCGCGTGTTGACACCCGCAAAGGATGCCCGCAACGCGGGGGGTAACAGGCGGCATGTCAGCGGGGGAGGGGACAGCACGCTTTCTTATTCCAACAGCAGCAAGGAGAACGACTTGCCTTCGTCTGCTACTCACCTTCCTTCGGACAGCAGCGGCGGTGGCGAAACTGCCGCCGTTTCCGGCGGTGGAGGAATGGTCGACGGTTTCGGCGTTCGCAACCGGTTCGGGGCCGCGCGGCGGGTCAGCAGCCACAGCAGCGGCAGCGGCGATAGGCCGGTGGACGATGAAGAAGGCAGCAGGGACGACGACGACGACGACGACGATGGTGTCCTTCCCAGTAGGGTCGCCGTTGCCCCCGTAAGGACTGCTGCTGCTGCTGCTGCTGCTGCCAGGTCGACCTTCGGCCCCGCTCGAATTAATGCCGGACATCGCAGCTCGGCGGCGGCAGCAACAGCAGCTGACCGCCGGGCTTCCGCCGCCTCTTCTCGACGCGTGAGGAGGGTGGGCAACGGCCGCGACGGTGCCGGAGCGAGCGTCGGGACGGAAGCGGGGGAACCTCAACGTAGTGCTGCCAGGAGAAGCAGCAGCAGCGCCAAGAGCGCGGGACCGGGGGTATCAGAGGCAGCCGTTAGCTCTTGGGGAACGGTTGGGGCTGCCGCTGACATGAGAAACAATCCCCGGCGCGTAAGCACGTGGAGCAACAACAGCGGCAGCAGCAGCAGCAGCAGCAGCAGCAGCGCTCCCAGCATCGGGGGAGGGGAGCTCGCAGGGCGTCGATCGGTGTCTCGACCCATCGGCACCAGACACAGAAACAGCAGCACGGGGGGAAGCAGCAGCAGCGCGGCCTCTGAGCATGCTTCCGCCGTCCTGTCCTCTGCGTCGAACGCCTCCTCCACGAAGAGAAACCTCAAGGGAGCGGCCGCCGGTCGCGTGCGCGATCGGAGCACCAGCAGCGGTGGCGGCGGGGAAGGGCTAGTGAGGAGAGCGTCTGCAGCGGGTAGGTGTCTGGCGGGGACGTGCGAGGAGTGCGGAAAGGGGAAGGGCGGGAAGAGAGGGGGCGAGGGAGGGAGGCCTTTGTGCGAGGACTGCGCCATCGACTCCGCCGAGCATGAGGCGGAGAGACACAGGGTGGGGGCAAGGAGGCCTGCGGGGAGGAGAAGTGGTGTTGCTGCGGTGAGTGTATGATGCGCTGCGTGTTTTGTTTTTGCTGCCCTTGTGTTTTTTTTCTAGCAGTTCCGCGGGGTCTGCTTTCTTGAATCCCCGCGCACGTTGGCCTTGCTGCGACTAGACGGCGGTGAGATCAGGATGGTTTCGGTTGGTTCAAGGCAGTCGTTTGGCAACGGCTTTATTTTTTTTTGTTGACGCTCGTAGCAAGAGGGAGGGTTGCTTCTGCAGCCGATGTCCGCGTGAAAGCTCAACGACAATAGCAACAGTTGAGTATGCGCTCTCGGCGTTGCAATGTCTCTTGCTTCGTGGGAAGAAAACGCGAAATCTGCTGCTGTGGAAGTAGAACGTGGTGGTACGTATCACGAGATGGTGCTTATAGTCGCCTTTTCGAGAGGTCATGTCAAAGCAGGGATGTGCCTGTAGTTGTATTTAGACACCGGTTGCGGAATTCCACCATGAAAGAGCCATCGGTACGATGAAAAGGAGAGAACACAGCATAGTTCTAAGAAGACGTCGCAAATGATTTTGCAAAGTTGCCAATGTTATATAGAATATTCTCGACTTTGGATTCTGGATACTCCGTCGTTGAATCGGACGTGCAGTTGGGCGATCGGCGGGGGGAAGGAGTCGTGTCGAGCGTAAAGCCCCACCATATCTTGTACATGTTGATGTTTAACTGTTAAGTTTGGGCTGGCCATCTATAGGACCACGGAAGGCGCCTGTCAGCATCAGTTGAACCGGTACGTGTGTTGGAAGGTAGGAGAAAGAGACCACGCGGTTTTTATTGCGAAGACAACAACAGCAACAATCGTATCGAATTCTCGATCGGCTTTCTAGAAATGCAATGGCGGATTCGATGGAAAAAGAGGTCGCCAGCGATGACACAATCATTAAGCCGGGTATAGTGTCACCTCTGCGTCCCAGTTTTTTTCCCATTGATGCCGAGTGCCCAGCCTACTCCTTTCAGTACATGGTTGACGTACCAACGGGGAGAGTATTACAGGAGAACTCCTCCACTTTTCCTCCTGGGGTGCTTGCTTGCCTGCAATTATTAACGCGAAGAGGGTTCAGCGGTCACGACCTTCGTTAGCTGTGTGACTATAGTGCCAGTTGAATAATGCCAAAGTCCGGTATAGTCCGGGTAATTTTTCTTGACGCAGACACAGGCCTGAATAATGCCAAACCGGCACTATTGAGGGCTGCCCGCGACGTGATGACCGCATGCGCATGGGAAGTTCCAAAGGCGTTTTCATACAACCTCCCACTCCAGGCCTGCTGATTCCACTGAAACCGTTTCAGGACTCCGACGTTGGCTCCGTTCGTTCCCTAGCTGTATGTTTACTATTCTCCCATTTTTGTTTTGTGGCATGGCAGGCGACTTACCGCCGTGCCCCCGCCTTTTTGTTGAACGGTGCTGTTCTAATTGTACCATCTGCAGGCCCCCGTACGAAGGAGATCGATGGTGCCGCCAGCGGCGACAGAGACAGCAGGCGGAGGCGGAGGCGGAAGCGGGGGCGCGGTGAAAGATCGGGACCTGGGGCGTCGAATGTGCATCCAGGATTTTCAGGTAGGCGATGACGACGACGACGTAATATGGTAGCTTTCCCGGCTGTCGGGCCCGCTATCACAAACGTTGACCATTTGACAGACTACGACGAACGCTGGCCTCTGGAAAATAGCGATGGATTTGATAGTAGATGGGATAATGACATGGGAAGAAGGAGGCATTGATGACGGCATCTTGCAATGTTTTTGTGTTTTTCGTTTTTCGGGGGCCTTGTTTCGGAATCGACCGGAACAGCTGAAATAGTATCGGAGGAGGAGGGAGAGGAGGCTGGAACAATTTTCGGTTCTGATGCCTCCGTTCGAGTAAGCACTGTCAGCTAATAAGCTTATGTGCTAGTCCTTTGGCTACTGTGTTGCGCACGAATCACACGCATGGTAGACGCGGCTTTCTTAGTTTTCGGCACCGACCGGATTCACTCAATGGCGCCATGTTTCCGCTGGGTTTGTGCTTTTCCTGAAGGTTTTTGCTACGCACAATTCTACGATTTTTTTGTGTGTCCTATGCCTGCTGTTTGGGCTGCTGATACGGTATTAAACCGAATTTTTGAGTTGTTGACCGCACATCCAAACGGGCGTTTGCGCTGTCGCTTGTGATTGCATAGGTGACGTCAAAGCTCGGCATGGGCAAGTTCGGCATCGTCTATAAGGCCAAGAGCAAGCAGTCGCACAAGACCGTCGCGATCAAGGTGATTTACAAGGTAAGATGTGAGATGCAGCAAATCACCATTTTCATGGTTGGAGGTCGACATGATTTCAAGCTACGTTAGTACCACTTTGCTGTTTGACCCCGATCAAGTATGTACCGAAGCGTGTTGGCAGGTGCCAAGAATGGGACAAAGGAATAAAATGCGTGGGTGGCGGAATATTTCGCAACGCCTGTGGTCAACTTCTCTCGACAATTGTCCCGTTCGGAGCCCTTGATTGTGGCAAGGTTCACCCCATACTTCTTGTCCCCAAAAGGAATGTGTGTCGCAAGTTG